ATTTCAACATGTGGATTTGGGGGTGACACATGCAGACCATACTCATCACTGTTAATATAATCAAGCTTTAAAACAGAAAAACTGGAAAAGTACTGTTACTTTTCACTCTAATGAATGTATAACAACTATTTATATAAAATAAAAACACTAGAGTGACTTATAGTTTTCCATGACAACCAAGTATAGCTATAGCATTAAAATTAAAGCTTATGTAAGAGATTACATTCATTGAAATCTTTATTTTTGTTGAGAGGGAGAGATTGTATTCAAAACTGTCAAGTAGACTTTTTCAATGGCAGGAAATATATCAGGATGTTTATAAAATACAAAAAAGACAGTGTCTTTTATATACTTCAAGATTTTATTTTTATCTTTCATGCTTCTAATTTTTATATAGCTTAAAATCTTATCTCCTAGCAGCACCATGCATCTATATCTCTTATCTTTCCAAAGTTTTTCTTAACAACTTATAATTAGATGCTCAGTTCAGAAATGACTTTATTAGTCAGAGAAATGTAAGGAGTATATAGAACATTAAGTCAAGTTAATCCAATATCATAGGGGTTTACATATTTGTCTCAGCATTGCCATAAACGATAATTAGGGAGAAAGGCTTAACTCTGACATGAGATTTTAGGGATGGTTTACTGGAAGATGGAATGAGACCTGAAATAGAAAAGGAAATTTTCCAATGAAGGGAAGGAAGAGGGCAAAAAGGCTTAACAAAGGTAACTGCATTTGTGAAGAAAATATTCCTCATTTGATGAGCTGAGTAAAACTCAATATCACTAGAGTATGTTGGTTGATGTAGGAAGTGAAGAGAAATGAAGTTTAAGGGTGCAAACTTACAATGAGTAGTAAATAAGCCCTGGGATCAAATGCACTGTACAGTGAATATAGACACCATATTGTATTATATCGACAAACCTGCTAAGAGACTAGAACTTAATTATTCTAACCACTAAAATAATAATAATTATGTAATGTTATAGAGGTGCAATTATTGCTAAAATGGCAATCATACTACAATACAAGAATGTAACAAATTGACATGATAGACGGCTTAAATGTACACAATGTTGTGGCCGGCCTGGTGGCGTAGCAGTTAAGTTCATGTGCTCCACTTTGGCGGCCCGGGGTTCACCAGTTCAGATCCCGGGCGCGGACCTACACACTGCTTATCAAGCCATGCTGTGGCAGGCATCCCACCTATAAAGTAGAGGAAGATGGGCACGGATGTGAGCCCAGGGCCAATCTTCCTCATCAAAAAGAGGAGAATTGGCAACGGATGTTAGCTCAAGGCTTATCTTCCTCACACATGCAAACAACTTTACACAATGTCATATGACAAATACAAATAGTGGAGGCCCTATGCAAAGCCAAGCACTCTAACTTCCAAGTTTTTGTTCTTAACTACAGTTGCGAGCTGGCATTCCCTAACCCTCAAAACTTGACTTACCCCTAGTAATTTATTCCCTTACCTTAAATAACCTTCTCCTTATTGCTTCCCCTAATTCATTTTCACTGAGATAACTTTTCTAATAAATCTCTTGCAAGTGAATCTATGTCCTAGGCCTGCTTCTGAGGAACCTGAGACATATTATTTTCTGCTCTGCTAAAGAATTGTGCCAGTGACTTCTCTATGCCTTTGACTGGTTTATTAGTGTTTGAAATAGTTGTAACTACTGATAAAGGATAACTACGGATAAAGGATATCGATATCTTGAGATGCATTTTGAGCTATAAGTTCTGATCCCATTTATTGAGAGCATACTGTGTTCTCAATTGTGAATTCCCAAGGAGTCCTTGTTGAATATTCCTGCCAATGAACCTCAGATGAGACTGTCTTAACCTATTGATGTGGGTCTAATAAGGTATTATTCAAAGACAAAGGAAGAAGGAACTTGGTAGGGCAGTATAACCTCATAATAATTTACATTTCTAGAGTACTTACTCTGTGTATGGCACTGTCCTAAATGCTTTATGTATAGCAGTTCATTTATACTTCCCAACAACAGCATGAGAAATGTACTATTTTATAGATAGGGCACTTGAGCACAGAGAGGTTAAATTACATGCCCAAGGTCTCACAGGCACCACTACTACAAAGATAGTGGTATTAGGAATTATCATGACACTATCAGGCGTAGTATGCACACTCCTTCACTGCCTTCTCTACTTATGCACCACAGCACTGCCATAAAGGGCTGACTGGGTTTTTCAGAACTTACTGAAGGGTTAGAATGATTAAGGAGAATTACAATCTTGAGGGAAGGGGAAAAAATAAAAATTGTATGTTTCCTATGTCTTTCACCATGGTCCAAGGAAAGAGCATGCCAAAACTTAAGGGGTCAATTTTTAGACACACCCTGTGTTAGCTCCGGCTGCCATAACAAATACCATAGACTGAATGTGTCAGACAACAGAAATTTATGTCTCACAGCTCTGGAGCATCTAAGATCAAGGTGCTGGTTGATTGAGTTCCTGGTGAGAGTTCTCTTCCTGGCTTACAGATGGCCACCTTCTTGCTGTGGGCTCACGTGGACTTCCCTTGCTTTGTGCACATGAAGAAAGAGAGATCTCTCTGGTGTTTCTTCTTATAAAGGTACTAATCTGATCATGTGGTTTGATCTTGTCTTAGAATCCACATCCTCCTAGCCCCATCCCTACAGGCATTGTGACTCCCTGTTTCCCATTGCACTTGGAATCTCTTAGTTAACTTACTCTGGAACTTCCCTAGATCTATTGATGTAGTGACCTCCAATTCCTGTGTTTCTTGTTTTTCACTTTCACTGACTCTGAGAGACCCATTCCACTGACCATGTGAACCTTACCTCTACTGACTGTATGACTCTGGCCACCTCTAATCCTGTGACCTACACCTGGGCCCAGTGTCCCCAACTGTTTTTTTTTTTTTTTTTGCTGAGTAAGATTTGCCATGAGCTAACATCTGTTGCCAAGCTACCTTTATCTTGTATGTGAGCTGCCATCACAGCATGGCCACTGATAGACGAGTGGTGTAGGTCCATGCCCAGGAACCTAAACCCAGGCCACCAAAGTGGAGCACACTGAACTTAACCACTAGGCAACCAGAGCTGGACCCCAGTGTCTTCCACTCTTGATGACCATGGGATTCTCATCCCTAATGACTCCTTTCCCCCTACTCCACCATTCCTGAAGTCTCTTCCCTCAGTGACCCCAAGCCACTGACAGCATAATCCCCTTCATCCTGACCCCACCTTGATGGCAGTATTACTCTCTCCACTACTATCACAGAAAACCCCATTCCTACATAGTCATCTTCTCTCTATCCCAATATACCACTTGCCATGTTTTTTTTGGATCTCTGGGGCACAGCCTCTGAATCTCATTTAATAATCAGACTTCTTAAATGACTGAGAAATTTATCAGAGATCTTTTTTATTTCTATAAACCAATTTTGGCTTGAAAATCAAATTTAATATATGATACTTCCTAGTTAAAGGCCATTATGGATTCATTAAACAAATACAAAAAGTACTCAGCAAATGTTAACTGAACAGTGCAGTTTTCAAGGATGCAGTGATGTGAGAGACAGGCACCATGCTATGCAGGTGTTCTATTTCCATTTCAACTTTATCATATTAGGAGGTCCTTTATCATATTAGGAGGTCCTCCATATTAGGAGGACTGAGACTATTTTCCAGAGAACCAAAGGAAAACCATACTCTTCAAGAACACCTGTTCCTTTCATAATATTTCTGTTTCAGGATTTTTTCTGGAGACCTGGGTCATTTGACCTGAAACTGAGAGTATGCTTGAAGCCCTTTGAGGAGACAAAGACAGGAGAATCAGCACTCCTGTCTCCCAGCTCTGAAGATTCAAATCCTTGGAATGCTTTTCCCTGGACTGCCTGTTTTCACTGGCTATAGAGGGGTAGAGAGTGTGCCTGTAAGTGGAAGCCAATGGATGCCCTTAAGTCCAAAATAAAGAAATTCTCTTCTTTGTATCAGAATTCCTTTGGATCATCAGCGTTGAGAACTTAGCATAAGTCATTGTTTCGGAAAGTGTAGGTTTGTAGAATGATGATTTCTTTCCCCTCTGAGGCCCTTGGTTGGCTTCAGAGTGTTCTTCACTTTTATTCGGATCATGACCCTGTGGCTCAAGTAGTGTGAAAAATCACAAGGGTGCCTGATTTGGAAATAAATATTTCCTGACGTTTTAATAGATAAAGAAGAATCTCTTATTAAAATATCAGAACTTAAAAACTGTATAATTTTTGATGTTTTATTCTTGGAAGAATAGTGTTTTTAATCATTAATGACTTAATCAAATTCAATCTTGTTCACAGCCTTGATTACAATGGCCCTTTTTACCTGGTCACAAATCTTGTTCCAAAAACCACTCCTTTTCAGATTTCTACATAGCACTAGGCTTTAAATACCTAAGCTCTAGTGAACTGTTTTCTTTTAAACATGCAGAGGGAACTGCCAAGATGCCAGGGAAGAAGTGAGTGACAGTTAAATGAGAAAAACAGTTATTGTATTTCTATTTTCTATATTTGCTTAATAATATTTCCTGAACTGATGCAGGCTCTATCCTGGCCAAGTCTCTCTTTTATTGTTTCCGGGAACAAAATATGCCTAAATATCACTATGCTTGGTAATCAGGAACGTTCCATGATGTTTTTTCCATTCAAGGGTTAGTAACTTTTCCT